AATAAATTATGAGGACTGATTGATAAGATATTTTTGCGACTAAGCTTTTCGGCAATAATAGGGATTTATGATGGATTAAAAGAATATTGAATCTTGACATATGGTTAATGATCAGATATAGAGTTTGATAAAAATGGTGTTGTTGTAGACCCTAAATACTATATCATAATTGATTTTATACTCTGTGACTGATGAATTTTCAGGCTGAATACGGGAATTTTAAGTTATGAAATTAAATCAAAATAAATTTATTGAGTTTGGATAATTTGGAAAAGTGGTAAAGTTTGGCTCGTTGGTGAGTGAGCGAAAGCAGTAAAATGTTGTAAAGTAAAAGCAATAAAAGTGTGCGGTTAGTGGTGATGAGCAGAGCGATGGTTTACGAACGGCGGATGCAGTGAGTGCACTGGTGAGCAAAGCGGCAGGTATGGCAAGTAAGCGGTAAACATAAAAGTGAGCGATGACTTACGAGTGGCTTATGATACTGAGATCGAGTAATGAGCGGTATTATAAAAACGATAAGGATGTACAAAGATGTTTGTGTGTGATATGTGCATTCCAAAATAGCTAGATTTTCATTGATGAAATGAACAAGTGGTGAAAGTGAAGCAGCGAACATATATGTATAATGCGAAATGACAGAAGCAATGAATGTGATTGTACATGTTCATTTAAACCAGATTCTTGATTCGCTGGTACTTGACCTTAGGGGATTTGCATCAAGACTTCAATGACACCTAGATTCAGAAAATTATAAGCAAGAAAAGCTACTATCACTAGACATTTCTGAGACCCGATTGACAAGCATCTATGTCCAATTAATCATTCCAAGATCAGTTTTATTATTCTTTTTACCCTTATGATACCTCTCTTTAATCAAAATTGAATTAAAAATAGTAATTAAGCAGGTCGATAAGGCTCTCGTGTACTTAACTACATTGAACTACCTAAAATTTGTTAATGAATACGGCGCAATATTAGAATTTGATAATCAATTCTTCTAAAGAACTTTCTACAGCGAATAAAATTCTAGATTTAAACAATCAAATACATATTTTAAATTGGAAATGACTTTGAAGATGAAGAAATCTTGATATTAGATTAACACTAGAAAACTAGAAATCTATATTATGAAAGCGATAATCAAAGCAATAAATGAAAGATGTAAATTTGCCTAGAAAACAACTAAAATTGGGTGGCTAGAGAAGGAGAAAATCTCCACTCCCCTGACCTCCTCTCTAATTAAGATAATTCTTTTACAGAATTGGAGCTCTCAAGAAATTGACAAAGTAAAAGAAAGAAGTTTCTCACAGAGTATATGATATCTTTACTCGTGAAATATGGCCCTATTTATAGTGTTTATGGGACATCAATTAACATTAGTTGAGTGGTTACAAAGCAACAATTAAGAGCCGTTGAAATTTTGTTGCAACCGCTGGGAGTTAGACAGTTAGTTGGTTGATTGGTTGGAACTTCCATAACTCCCAACTTGCTCGCTCACTTGTGGAACTGCATTGGCTGGGCACAACTCTTCCTCGCTTGTATTGTTAGACTTCACTTGGCTGGAGGGCATTGACACAGCTCAAGGGAGACTATCGTTGCTGGCTGGTAATGGATGGTTGGCCATTGGAAGATCCATACTTAATTATTTCTTGGAACTTCTGAATCGTCGCTCGTCAGCGGTAAACGTCTGGATGGTTGGCAGGCTCGGGCGCAAGCAGAAAGAGCATCCCTTGCCATAGTTGGTTGCACCCTCGCTTATGAGTCAGAACGTCGCTTAAAAAGGCTAAGAAAATCAATAATATTAACAAGCGGGCTTTGGATCATATCAAGTAAAACATATCAATAAAGTATACCAAAAATCAGATATTGTGATGGTTCTCACATAAAAATTCAAAAAATACATAGTTTTATCACGCGATAAATATATTATTATTTGGAATTATCATTGATAGAAGATTATGTTTTTGTATCAACATCATCATTTGGAGGTTGGTCATAGGCAGTAGGAATCTGAGGCATAAGGCGACTCATCGAGCCTAACATTCATTTTACTTCAAAGAATCTAATGCAGTACTTGTTGATACAGCTCGTTGCATCTAAATTCATTGAAAACTTGGGCCATGTCAGATAGTGTGTTTCATGAGAATTTTTACAGTCCACTATAGTCTTTGAGGAACTCAGAAAAGATTGATAATGCCAAATTGGATAACACTCCAGAATAAGTTGAACTTCGAAAGCAAAATATGGAAAACAATAGCAAAAACAACAATGCATTGTTAGATAAGTACAAAGGTGGGGCTTGATTTATTGATCTCGTCAAATATAAACTTGTGACGTTATATAAATAAATATTTAAAGTATTCAAAAGAGTTTTATTTCAATAGCTACAATTAAATATCTTGATATGATTTGTTTAAATAATATTCACATATTTATTAAATAGAAAGTGCAATTGGCTAGACCTTCATCGGAAATTGAGCTTCACGAGCATTGTTGGAAAAGAAGGATGAGACATATCTCTCTACGAAACTAGCTAGCAATAAGTTATTTTAAATCACAAACTACATATAAAATTTGGTTTCTACCATGCACAAACTAATATATTACTCGGAATTTAGAAGAATTTGAAGAAGTCTTGTTAATATTATGACACAAACTACATTTATAACAAACAAGATAAAAAAATAAGCTTATTAAGTTCTACGGGGGCTACGACAAAAAATGGCGCATTGCAAGACTAGGCTTCAAAGGGAGCACTATTCGACTTGTCTTATGTGGATCCAGTTCGCAAGCTGTTCATACCACCCAATAGGCTCATACTTGCTCTTATGAGGCAAAGATGAAAACTAAAACAGAAACATTAAGACAAACGCAAATTGTTCTTCGATGGTAGATAGCAATGATGACTGAGGAAATATTTATATCGTTAAGCTAGTAGAATGTTATTTTTTATGTCTTTTTATATGTTGTCGTTGTTGGAAAAATAATTTTAAGGATAAATTATATTTTTTTATCTTGCACATGATCCTTATTATCATTTTGGGACTTTTAAATAAATTATTTATGAAAACTATAAAATAGTTTACCATACTTTTTAATTGTGTTTATATAAGCATGATTTTTTTTTTTTTTTTAATGAATGTTAAGTCACAGTGCTATGTTTGATTTATAAAAACCTTTAAGGTTTATATTTGTTGTGTTATTTTGATGATGTGAGACATATTTATGATGTTGCTATTGTTCAAGGTGATATTTGTTTTGTTACTTGGATGAATTTTATATTGAAAATGCAACGGAGCCTTGAGATGATTTTACAGAAATTTGTGATGGGGAGAGCTCTGGACACTATTATTCTCACTTATTGCTAATAAGGTCATTCCCTAAAGGGTATTTATGCGTTTGTATGAAAATAATGTTGTCTGGGTTATCAATACAAATGAAAATGGGAATGATGATGGTGCCAAGAACAATGACGACAACATGGACTTGGATAAAGCCATACTTCCATACGACATTCAAATTTTTTGTAAGTAATTTCAATCTAAGCTGAAATTGTCTTGTGCATAACAAATTGGTGGTATTTATAAAACGATTTAGTTTTATTAAATATTTTGTTATAGTACGTGGAATTATAGTATTAGATGTTGCCCTTATTTTTGTAATGAGGGTAATTTGTTTTATAGTATTTACAAAGGACAAAAATAGTGATTTTGATATATTTTTCAGAACTATTTCCGAGATGAAAAATGAATATGACAATGATTTTGATGTATAAATGAAATTGTTTTTCGGTGCTTATATTTGAACTACATTTTTTTTATTATTGTAAATAAATATTTTTTTATAATTTTTAAGAAAATTTTAATTTAAATTTAATAAATATGAAATATAATTAAAAAAATTTTTGTTGAAATTGTATTATATTATTATAAATTAATTAAAAGCATTAGTTAGAGCTATATACCAAAGAATTCATGTTTAAAACAATCTCAAAAATTCCTATTTGAACCGGTATTGGAAATATCCGAGGGTATTTGAAATAGGTTCGGAAAACTCGAAATTAAATTGTTTTAGAAATTCTAGAATTATTTAAAACAATCTCAAAAGTTTCAAAGGTATCTGAAATAGGCTCGGAAAAGCCAAAACTAAACAGTCTCGAAAATTTCAAAACTATTTGAAACAGACTAAAAAGTTTCCAAGGCATCTAAAATAGGCTAGGAAAAGCGGAAACTAAACCGTCTTGAAAATTTCAAAATTATTTGAAACTGTCTAAAAAATTTCAAAGACATCTTAAATAGGCTTGAAAAAGGTAAAACTAAACCATTCCGGAAATTGCAAAACTATTTGAAATAGTCTCGGAAATTAGTCCACACATTGTTACTTTTGGGAGTTTAGATTTAAATTTAAAAATTCTGAAACTTTCTGAAATAGCCTCAAAATTTTTGATACTATTGAAAGAACAACGGGTTTCACAGTTCGAGTGCGTTTCGGTTGCAAATTTCGAAATTGAAAATATATGGATTTGAAAGTAGTTCAAAATCCAAACTAATTTTTGAGGCCAAATTGCAATTTTCTACTGGTGGAATAACTTAATTCGTGAATAAAATAATGATAAGTTTACTTTACTTGATATGACTATTTAAATGAAATTCAATAGTAATGATAAGCGATAGGAATAAATGTATTGTTTAAATAATGTCTCATATCACATGCACTCTCATGAATATCCTCACCCTCAATAATGCACTGCTTAGGATGCGTTTGGATGTTTTTTTTTTGATAAAATTTAAAATGCGATGAGAGAGAATATCACACAAACAAAACATTATTCCATTATCCTTTCCATACTAATTTATTATTGATCAATGAAAGTTCCCCATATCCGCATATGATGATATGCAGTCATGGCGACAATTTTAGACCCACAGCCCTAATCGACACACACATACATATTTGCGTATATATATATACCCTCTAAAGCAGCACTAATTCGCAGCATTCTCTTCTTATCCAAACTCCAATTCCAATACTTTGTGCCATGGCGATTACAGTATTACTACTGCCACTGCTTCTTTTCCCCGTAGTAATCCCCGCAGCTGCTTCCACATTGTCTTCACCAGTTCATCCTGACCCTGAAGCTGTTGTCCAAGAAGTCAATGAGTATGAAAATATATATATATATATATGCAATATATGCCGTACGTTCAATTTATATAATCAATGTGTGTGTGTGTGTACTGCATGCAGGAAAATCAATAATGCGTCGACGAGGAGAAATTTGGGATTCCTGTCGTCGTGCGGGACCGGCAACCCAATCGACGACTGCTGGCGGTGCGACGCCAACTGGGACAAGAACCGGCAGCGCCTCGCCGACTGCGCCATCGGCTTCGGCAAGCACGCGGTGGGTGGGCGGGACGGCAAAATGTACGTCGTCACGGACTCCGGGGACGATGCGGTGAACCCGAAGGCCGGGACTCTCCGGTACGGCGTGATCCAGAAGGAGCCGCTGTGGATCGTGTTCGGGCGGGACATGGTGATCCGGCTCAAGCAGGAGCTACTGGTGCACTCTTTCAAGACCATCGACGGGCGCGGCGCCAGCGTCCACATCGCGGGCGGCGCGTGCATCACCATCCAGTACGTGACCAATATAATCATCCACGGAATCAATATCCACGACTGCAAGGCCGCCGGGAACGCCTACGTCCGGGACTCCCCCGACCACTACGGGTGGCGGACGGCGTCGGACGGCGACGGGATCTCCATATTCGGCGGAAGCCACGTGTGGGTGGACCACTGCTCGCTGTCCAACTGCCAGGACGGGCTGATCGACGCCATCCATGGCTCCACGGCGGTGACGCTGTCCAACAACTACATGACGCACCACAACAAGGTGATGCTGTTGGGCCACAGCGACAGCTACAAGGCCGACAAGAACATGCAGGTCACCATTGCCTTCAACCATTTCGGGGAAGGACTGGTGCAGAGGATGCCAAGGTAAGTGTAATTGACTCATATTTTGTATTACAAGAGGAACAACACGACAGTAATTGATTAAAATGAAAAATAGGTGCAGACATGGATATTTCCATGTGGTGAACAATGACTACACGAGTTGGGGAATGTACGCCATTGGCGGGAGTGCCTCTCCCACCATCAACAGCCAAGGCAACCGCTTTCTAGCTCCCAACCGCGCCGAGAACAAGGAGGTTACTAAACACGAGGATGCTCCAGAGAAAGAATGGAAGAAATGGAACTGGAGATCCCAGGGAGACCTGATGCTAAACGGCGCCTTCTTCAGAGTGTCGGGTGCGGGAGCCTCAGCCTCCTCAAACTACGCTAAGGCGTCCAGCTTGAGCGCCCGATCCTCGTCGCTAGTCGGATCCATCACAATGGGAGCCGGCTCCCTCTCCTGCCGGAAAGCCCGACGCTGTTGACCGTCACCGCCTAATATAATAAGCTCGCCTTTCATATATAATTAATTATATAATTAGAGCTGCCATTAATTCTCACACCAGCTATTATATTTAATTATATTCGAGTCCATTCATTTTTTTTACTATTAATTATTCACTGCAACAACCTCGGCCTCTCGGTTTCCTCTCAATGTAGTAGGAAAAATACAATTCCTGATGAGGAAGGAAACGACGACCGGTGAGTTGATATATATATATATATATATATATACAAACAGCCACGCATGCATATATACATATGCTTGTAAGTTACCTTCCTATTAATAAAGATTTCTTTAAGATTTTCTCTCAATCTTCCGCATACAGTACACATAGAAACAAACAGCCAAAATATTTTTTCATCAACATGACAAAAAAATAAGCTTGCAGTGCTATTCAAAGGGAGTAACCGTTGCACATTATCACCTTACAATAATAATAATAAATAAATAAAAGCCTGACAAATTTAGTGGCCTCACTTCAATATTAACATTAATGGAGGGGAGCATACGCAAGCCACGTGCACGTGACCCTCTTCCGGAAAGAGGCTGCCCAAGCTCACATGGGATGGTTAGATTATTCAACATTTCGAGAGAAAGAATATATAATATTAATATATATATATATATATATATATATATTAAGCTATGGGTGACAGAAGAAGGCAGGCGGGCAAAGGCATGCATAAGACGAAAAAAAATTATATCAGTTTGCTCCGATCTGGTGGATCGATTTGAAGAAGCAGAGAGGTTTATCTTAGAATTTATCATCAATTAAAGATTAAGATTGTATTGAAATAATCGAGATAAATCTATTCTTATTCCATTAGGACATTGTGTTCTTCAAAATTTTAATGCACTCTATCCACAAGATATGGAAAAGTAAAATGTTTGTGTTTAAACTTGAATTCATAACTAGTTCCTTATTATTGATAGGTCATCATCTAATTAATAATTTAATAAGTTTTTCACTTACACTTATTAAATATATTTTTAAAATTAATAAAATTCTATAAATCACTTTTTTAATTTAATTGCTTATAGCCGAAACCGTCTAAATTTAACTCATATTTGAATTTTCATCCAACAATTCCAAGATCGATCCATCCATCCGGCTGTGGTCGAATTTGGTGTTGTATCAAGTCAAATGAAGGTGGTTGTTGTAGTAAAGCCTTTGAATATAGGGAAAATTGCAAAAAATATCCCATATGTATACCTTATTATTACTTTTGTTCTCGCTGGTAAAATATATCCCATATGTTTGCAAATGTTGCTATTTTTATCATTTGGCCGCGCATGATCGCGCGTAAGGACGCGTGGTGTGAATGTCACAAGCGGGCAAAGGAGATAAATAGTGACTTTCGTAAACATGTGAGATATATTTTGCCAGCGTGATAAGTATAAGACAAAAATGATAATAGAGTATAAGTGCAAAATATTTTTTTGCAATTATCACTTTGAATCTGCATGTGGATCGAGGATATATTTATTAAATTGATCCCATGATCGATGTCATAAATTCATTTCCACCAACAAGAACACCAACCAACCCTGCATTATATTGCAGCTAGCTGTCATAATGACCAGTGGAGAATTGATAGAGAATTGCGTGCTTGCATGCCCCACTTATCCATAAATAGTAAATCCGATCAAGCTTCTAGCTAGGTAGCTCACCCATTTTTAGTGAGTGCTGCTTCATCCAATTTCTGTGTCAATCAACTAATAAATGACCAGACATAAATCAACTAATAAATGACCAAGACATAAACACTACCGTGGAAAAAAAATTGTGTGATTTTTAATAAATACAATATTTATACAAATTATATTTAATTTGGATTTAAAGCGGGTCATATTCTCTAAATGGGTCCTTTGATTCTCTTTCCGGGTCGATTTGTTTTTCAACTTGATTTTCGATGGCTTCTTTGATCCGACGAGATTTGGTCTTCGATTTGATTTTGCCGGACTTTTGAGGGTTTTGGTCTCCATGCAGGCGATTTAATCGTCGGCTTTGGATTTGTATCCTCTTTGGACGATCCGAGGCTTTGATTTTCGATTTGGTTTTGCTACCTTTTTTAGAGCTTTGGTCTCCGTGTGGGTGATTTGATCGTCGGCTTTGGATTTGATGTCTTCTTTAGACGATTCGAGGCTTTGACCTTTGCTTTGACTTTGCCTCTTTTAGAGGACTTTGGTCTTCGTATGGATAATTCGATCGTCGACTTTGGATTTGATGTCTTCTTTGGACGATCTGCGACTTTGATCTTTAATCCAGCTTGTTGGCGGATTTGAGCTTTGACTTGACTTTGCCGCCTTTTGAAGGGCTTTGGTCTCCGTGCGGACAATTTGATCCTCAGCTTTGGATTTGATGTCTTCTTTGGACGATCCGAAGCTTTGATATTTGGTTTGGCTTTGCCGTCTTTTGGAGAGCTTTGGTCTCTGTATAGGCAATTTAATCATTAGCTTTGGATTTGATGTCTTCTTTAGACGATCCGCAGCTTTGATCTTTGATTTGGTTTTGCCGCCTTTTGGAGGGCTTTGTCTCCGTGTGGGCAATTCGATCGTCGGCTTTGGATTTGATGTCTTTTTTGGACGACCCGAGGCTTTGATCTTTGCTTTGGCTTTGTCGCTTTTGGAGGACTTTGGTCTCCGTGTGGGTGATTTGATCATCGGCTTGGATTTGATGTCTTCTTTAGACGATCTGAGGCTTTGATCTTTGTTCTGGTTTTTTCGCCTTTTGGAGTGTCTCGGTCTCCGTGTGGGCGATTTGATTATCGGTTTTGGATTTGCTGTCTTTTTTAGACGATCCGAGGCTTTGATCTTTGCGTTGGCCGCTTTTGGAGGACTTTGATCTCCGTGTGGGCGATTTGATCATCGGCTTTGGATTTGATGTCTTCTTTAGACGATCCGCGGCTTTGATCTTTGATTTGACTTTGCCGCCTTTTGGAGAGCTTTGGTCTTCGTGCGGGCGACTTGATCGTCAACTTTCGATTTGATATCTCTTTTGGACGATCTGCGGCTTTGATCTTTGAGTAGATGGATTTGGTGCTCCATAACACTTTTGGCTTTGACTTTTGGATCAAAGAGGGTCGAGTCGAGGCTTTGGTGAAGAACGCAATGAACACCTCGAAGCTTTGAGATGAACTTTGGATGCTATTCCTTGGCTCTGATGAATTTTTCAACAGCTTTTGGAGCTTTGATCCTTAAAGAGGTGGATTTGGTGTTCCATAACACTTTTGGCGGCGTATCCCTTTGACTTTTGGATCGAAGAGGGCCTAGTTGATGCTTTGTTGAAGAACACGATGAACATCTTGAAGCTTTGAGAGGAACTTTGGAGACCTTCCCTTGGCTTTGATGAATTCTTCAACGGGTTTTTGGGTTTTGATCTTTGAAGAGGTGGATTTGGTGTTTCATAACACTTTTGGCGGCGTGTCCCTTTGACTTTTGGATCGAAGAGGGCCTGTTTGATGCTTTGTTGAAGAACACGATGAACATCTTGAAGTTTTGAGAGGAACTTTGAAGACTTTCACTTGGCTTTGATGAATTCCTCAATGGCTTTGGGAGCTTTGATCCTTCCTCCGGCTTAGGCATACGACGAAGAATGTTAACTTCATCGATTCGTCAACCAATATTAGATCATTTTTCCAAATTAGTGACTTTCGACGAAGAACGCTTCGAAGGACACGGAAAACATTACATAGAGAGTCTAGAGACTTACCCATTTGCTTGAAACCTCGATGTAACTTCAGTGTTTCAAATGAACTGGCTATGACTCCTATTTATAGGGGAAGGGTGGCCTTGGCTTCTTTTTCGGATGGTGCCACGTGGCGCGTCTTGATTGGCCAATATGAGATTTTATAATCTTTCATTTTTCATCAGATTCCGTTTTCCATTTTTGAAGGATCTGATTGCGCGCCTTTCTTTCTCGCCAAGATCTTTATATCATTGTCTTTTTCGAAATATATTAATTTTTATACTTCCTTTATTGACAAGATTAATTTATTTTGCTGTCAAATTTATTATGGCTCTATTTATGCACGTAATATTTGTGCGATATCTTTCATTTTAAGCAGATTTTTTGCATTAATGGTTGATATTTATTGTACAACAATTAACATATGTGCATAATTAAATACCTTATATTTATTTTATTGGAATTTTATTTTCTTCCAAAATACATGATATTTAATATAATTTAGGCATTTATTTTTTAATGCCTACAAAATGCCCCCTCGAGACTCGTTTAAGCTGACGCAAAGCGTTTAAAGTTTGAATAAGTCTCGAAATATCAAGTCAGTATATTTTTTTGGAAGGAAATTCTATTTTTTTTTTTATAGCTATATTTTTTTTGTATTTATTTTTTTATTTTTAGCCAATATTTTTTTCAAAGGGCTTTTTCTTTTTCTTTTTTCTTTTTTTTTAGGACAAGATTTTTTTCTTTAAGTCCAAGTGATTTTTTTTTAAGCCCGATTTTTTTTTTCTTTTTTTTTCTTTGCCCAATTTATTTTTTTAGGGCCTTTTTTTGATATAATTGACTGAATTCGGAGTTATATTCTAAGTTGCCTATGTATCCAGTGAAGAAATCAGGTCATAACGTAGTTCAAAACAAATTGAATTTGTTTGTTTTTGTTTAACAGTTTATTCTCGTATTAAGGAGTCTGCGGGAAGTTTATCCTCATTTCTAGGATATTGTAGAAAGTTTATCCTCATTTCCAGGAGAATGCAGAAAGTTTATCCTTGTTTTTAGGAGATTCTAGAAAGTTTATCCTCGTTTCCAGGAGATTGCAGAAATTTTATCCTTGTTTCTAGGAGGTTGTAGAAAGTTTATCCTTGTTTCCAGGAGATCGTAGAAAGTTTATCCTCATTTCCAGTAGATCGTAGAAAGTTTATCCTCGTTTCCAGGAGGTTGCAGAAAGTTTTTCCTCGTTTCCAGGAGTATTGTAGGTATGACTGTCCCCACTGTTTGAAGTGTTGTATTTCTCGTCTTCTGAGAAATCTTCAGTAGGCAATCCATACATTCTACTAGACATTATGCTCAATTCCATATCAGGAGTGCGAGTGGCGAGTTCTTCAAAACTAGGGGTCGGATCCCTTGTAGGATGTATTTCAAGTCCCACTGCATTCCTTGAATGTACATTTCTATGTTGGAAGCCTCAGACAAATGGTCTTTGAAGTTAAGGATTAGATTTCTCCAGCGGTTGATGTAGTCGATTACTGGCTCATCTTTCCATTGGCGGTTGTTGGTTAGTTCAGTCATGCTAATAGTTCTCTGTGTGTTGTAGAACCGATTCAAGAACTCATACTTTAGTTGTTTCCAATTGTCG